GGCGTGGATTGGGGCGTGCTATCTGGCTGGTCCGGGGGGGAACAGCGCCGCTTTCGCTAGTGGTGACCCCTCGAGCGTGACGGCGGGGAGCACTTCGCGACGATGCCTCTCGTCAGTACCGTTTAACCGACTCCTATGCCCATCCCCATCCCCATCCAGATCCCCACCATCTCCGCACCCCAGTTGGGGATATGCCCCTCGAATTCCGAAGGAAGCGGCCTACATCCCCAACAAGGGGGGTAAATCGGCCAGTGCGGCCCAGGCTACGCCCATGGAGATGGGGGCTGGTTAAACGATGCTCATCTTGTGCCCCTGCAGGCTTCGCCAGAATCTGCTGGCAGAGGTCTGAAGAGGGCACGACGAGGGGGGAGCGGGGGCCGGGGCGAAGCAGGAGGGGGACAGCACCGTCTTTGCCGATGGTGACCCTTCGAACGCGACGACGGGGCGAAATTTGCGAGGGCGCCTTTCGTACCCCTGCAGGACAATCTTCGAAGAAGGGTCATCGACATAGATCATAACCGCGAGGATTTCTTGGGTCGGCGCCCGGGCCCCTTTGGCGGCTCCTCCGGCGCCGCCCGTGGCGCGCTCCGCGCGCGGGGGAGGGGGGTTAGGGCAGATGCAAGAAATCTTCGCGGACCTCCGAGATATGTTTGTTTATGAGGTCTTTGATCTTCTGTTATCCAGAAGCGACTTGCAGACGAGCTATCTACTGAAGGGCACTGGGTGAGAGCGTGAAGCCGAGAGGGGGGACGCCAGTCAAAGCGAAGCCAGGATCAGGCCGAGCAGCTCTTGAGGCCTCCATGAGTCTTTAGGCTTGGGGCTCTTTTTGGGGCATCCTAGATGCCATCGGCGAACAAAGGGGGGGGTTCTCGATTTCGTCCCCTCGGGAGCCATCGAGGTCACTTCTTAGGGCCCTCTTGTTTTTTTGTTTGGTGCGGGGATCTTTCGGTCACTGTTGGGGCAAATGTAGGCCGCTGAGGCCCTCTGCCGTCATCTTGGGGGTCGTACTGAGGCCTCCGAGGCCTACCAGAAGCGGAAAGGCGAGACATATGTGTAAACATAGCAAATGCCATAAGCGAAACGGCGAGACATATATTCAGAAACACAGTGTCATTTTCAATGATTAGGGCTTATTGGGGCATCCGTGGGAGGGCCCGTGGCTATCTCGAGCCATCTTGGGGCTTCGTTGGGCCATCTCGGGCCAACCCCGAGGCCATCTTGGCTAATCCGATGCCATACTGGAGCCATCTTGGGGCAATCCAGACTTTCGGACACCTCACGGGGGGTCATGCCTCCTCCTCTATTTTCTCCTCCTCTTCCTCCTCCTCCTCCTCTCCCTGTCCTCCCTTTCCTCCTCCTCCTCCCTTTCCTCCTTCCTTTCCTCCTCCTCCTCCCTATACTCCTCCCTTTCCTCCTCCTCCGCCTGCCTATTCCGGGCGCGTCTGTTGAACCTGGCGCAGTGTTCATCTGACCAGTGTTGGGACGACCATCTTGTGACGCTCTCACAAAAGAAAGGCTTTGCAAATCTTGTGCGCGATTTTTCGACCTGCACCCGCTCTTCCTGTCTTGTACAAAGTGTACTCCGGAGTCATCCTCAAATTGGCGACCCCATTCATCAAGAACCTCAGCAGCCCACAGTTTGATTTTCGACCTGGCTCAAGGAGGTGGCTCAAGCTGGCTCAAGGCTCAAGAGCAGACGCAGGATTCCGTCGAGCCGCCGCGCCAGCCTCTACCCGCGATGTTTGCCCCGCTGGCCTGGCCGCTGCGGCCGGGGGGCCGCTGGCACGCCGCAGGCGCTGCGCTGACCCCGGACGACGCCCACATGGACGGGGCGCTGAAAGGGGTCGTTCCCGACGCCTCGACACCCGGGAACTGGGGGGATGGCCAAGCCTGTGGAGCGAGTGTTGACCCAGCGGTGGGGGGCTCCGGTGGGACCGAAGGGGAACCCTGCTCCTCTGAAGCTCCCTCCCGCCCACCTCGTCAAGGCCCGCCACCCTCCCATGGCCCCCCCCAGGATCCTTCCATATCCTGCCTCACTTCGTGCAACCCCGCCAGGGAGGAATTCCAACCTACAGGACCCTTCCCGCTGCTGCGGATGAGCGACGACATGAGCATTCGCGACGACCTCGACGAGCAAGGGATCTCCGACGCTGGCGCCGACGCCAACCTCAGTGACACCAGCACCGACTGCAGCACCGTCATCAGCAGCACCACCGCTGACGCTGACGCTGACGCTGGCCCCAACTCTGACACCGGCGCCAGCCGGGTCGGCGCTGTCACCAGCATCGGCACTGACGCTAGCAACATCGACGCCAGCACCGCCGCATGCACCAACTCCAGCAATGCCACTTGCAGCATTGACGCCAGCACCAGCTTCGGCATCGACGCCAGCAACACCGACGCCTGCTCGGAGGACGTCACCAGCGCGAACACGTACGCCAACAGCATCGAAGCCAGCACCAAGTCTAGCACCGCGATCAACAGCAGCAATGCTGACAAGGACGCTTACAATGACGCCAGCAGCATCGACGCTGGAAGGTTGCAGCTTTTTCTGAAAACTCTGACGGGGAAGACCATCGTGCTCAACGTGGCGGCCAACTCCACGATTGGGGACGTCAAGGCGAGCATCCACACCTCCCAGGACATCCCACCAGACCAACAACGCCTGGTTTCCAGCAACAAGCAATTGGAGGACAGCCGCACCCTTGCGGACTACAACATCAAGAAACACGCAACGATGCACTTGATGCTCTGCCTCCGCGGTGGTGGACCAGAATCCCTGCTCACGGCATTACATTCGTGCCAGCACCATGCTTGTCCACTCTTCGGTGCCGTGGCACCAGGCGCGGGCCGATGCCCATCCTGCCACCAGGAACGGCACTTGCAGGCACCAGCGCCGCCACCTACGACGCCGCAGCCTTCGTCAAGTTTTTCGAGTGCCTGCCTGCCAGCCTCCATGGACCTGGAGGGTGAGACCACCCTGACGCAGCAGGCCGCCGCTCCCAATATCGAAGCTCCGCCTGGCCTGCCCCGCGCTGCGCGACGAGACACGCTGCAAACCCACACAGCAGCCATGGACGCCGATGCTCAGCCCCCGCCTCGCACAACCATCACCGACTTCGAGTTGCAGGACTTCTTCGAGCAAGAGGCCCTCCGGTACTTCGCACTCGTTCGTGCCAGCAGCCTCGCCCAGCCCGACGACGTACGGCGCACCACCATCGAGTTCCCTAGCAACTGGGAGCGTCTCGAGCACATCCTGCATCGACACGCTTACCGTCCAGAACCCGCAGACCCTTGGACTGTGCTCGGCCTCGGCCCCCTCGATGGCCCGGAACCCGAGGAGGTGGACATCTGCGCCCGCGCGCGGGCGGCTCGCACGCTGTGTTCTCTCGCGCGAGACATGGCGTGGGAAGAGGGCGACCTTCGCAAGGCCCAGGCCGTCGATGCAACCTTCGTCGCTGCTGGTGCCAAGTGCGAGGAGCTGCTCGCAGAAGCCAGGCGCGCGCGCTGCCGCACCCGCCCGGCCAAACTCCCCCGGTGGAAGGAGCTGGGCACGAACGCGCTTGCGGCCGTCTCGTCCCATCTCGCCCCTGGCTACACACACTTCGTCACGCAATGTTCGCAGCTCTTGGGTGCTACCACCGACCGCTCGCAGACCATCCAGTCCCACCGGCAGCGCAGCGCTCTGTTGGAGCAGGGCGACGAGCAGGCCCTGCGGCTGCTTGCAGGTCAGAGGGTCCTCGCCTGGGCACCTGAGAACAAAGATGCCCTAGGCAGGATCCACGCGCAGCTTCTTCGGTCCAAGCCCGACTGTGCACCAGAGGCCCTCTACCTCTTGGCGCCCGTGCCGCACTTCTATGGGGTCGACGCCGCTGCCAAGCTCCTCGACCTCTGGACTCACCCCCTGTTAGGGGAGAGGTTCGCCGCCACAGTCAGGAAGGTCACGATCGTCGTGCAGCCACTGGAATACGTGCTTCCCGGCCCCCGTGGGCCGCGGCATGTCCGTCAAGGGATCGCCTGCTTCCACCTGTCGCGGAGCGGGCCTCGCGCCGCCCCCAGCGTGGCTACCCCGCTCACACCCCTTCTGCAGGTGGAGGAGTACAACTCCTTCATCGTGGACGCGCACGCGGACCACGTCCCCGAGATCATGCGAAAACTCGCCGACCCGCGCTACGCTGGCATCTTGGCGAGGCACCCGACGCGCAGCCCGAGCAGCACCGACGCCAGGGGCCGAGTTCGATTGGAGCTCATCTTCACTGAGCGTCTCTCCGACATGGCCATGGAGATGCGCATGCGGGACATCAAGCGCCGCGTCCTGACGATCGACAGCTACATTGGCCTGAAGTCCTTGTACACAGACCCGAACGCGCTCATTCTTGAATGCTTCTCCCCGCTGGCCGTGGCAAAGGTCAGCTCGCTCTGCTCGCAGCTGTTCTTCCTTACCAGCGATAGGGTCCTGCTCCTCACGGAGGCCTCGACGGAAACGTGGGCGCAGTTGCTGAACGACGCGGCGAAAGAGGACGAGGCGCTCACAATTACGCGCCTCCGCTGGAAGGCTAGCAAGTATGGGGGGCGCCATTTCGCCGCTATCGACGCTACTGCTAGCGCGCTTAGGGCATCCCGCCGCCGGAGGAATCGCAGGGGGAAGCCGGCTACGATCGTCGACCACATCACCGAGCTTCGGATCAATGGCTAGATCGGCCATGACAGCAAGGGGGTCATCAGCAGACTGCTGCAGCACGCCTGCCACGACCAGGCTCTGGACCTCCATCCAGCGCAAGACGCGCACCGCCCACAGATAGGCACTTGGGTGCACCTCTTGGACCTCGACCCCACCGCCCCCCCAGGCCACGCGCGGGTGTACCTGGGCAGCGGCGCTGACGTTCGCAAAGTCTACCAGGCGTTGCATGGGCAGGTCCTCAAGATCGGCACCGACACGGTCTCCATCACTGTGCTGAACGACGCTCTGGAGGCCGCTTCTATTCCGGGAAACGGGACGCGGGGGAGCTGATGGGGTAGCTCTCCCGCTGCGTCGACCTCCGCGTGCCCCGGTGCATCCATTGGAATTGAGATTTTTACTTGCAGCGGCACCTCCTACTGGATCTTGGACGTCGTTATCGCTCTCCGCTCCGCCATCGCGGTCCCGAGTGCGACCTGCCGCGTCTCTCCCAGTTCTTGGGCGCCTACCTCCAATTCGGCCACTTCTGCTTCTTCGTCTACTTCTTCTGCATCGCCGTATCTTTCCCTTCCTCTACAGCACCCTTACCCCAATGCGACCCCCGACCAGCACGACGACGTCCCTCTCTGTCTCCTGCTTCGCCGGAAGCTTCATCGTGACCTCGGCGTGGATTGTCCACAAGATATCCGCCCCTCGAGGGACTCAATCCCAGACACGGCCACTCGACGATCGACCCGCCGCCCGCACTTGCCTTGCAACGGTGACGTTTCGATAACCACATGGAATACCCAGGCGCTGTTCGCGACGAGCCCGTCGTCTTTTAAGAACAAGTCTGGGTACGTGCACAAGTTTATGACTACCCGCGACGTCGGCCTCTGGACGGAGACGCACGGTGCGGCAGGCGGCAATGCTGTCTGGACGAATCCGGTTGGTTGCCAGTCATGGTGGGCCCCTGGACCCACCGCTGCTGCTGCTGGGGTGGGAATCACTGTCAAGAGCGAGTTCCGCCCTCTTCGACCCCGCACCCGCGTGGGCGATCATTATGCCAGGTCGAGCTGCCAGGCTCCGTCTACGGGGCCCGCTCGGCAATCTCGATTTGTATGTCATGTACTTTCACACGGGCTGTGAGGTCAGGCGCCAGGATGCCATCGACGCCGGCTTGCATGACATGGACCGCCTGCCGTCCTTTTTTTAACTACGGGAGGCGCTTCGTCGGCGCCTCTCCACGCACATCGCTTCGAAGGATACTGCGCTCAGCATCCTCGGCGGCGACGTGAATTTCGTGGCCGACAAGAAGGATATGATCAATTTGACTCGCATGATTCCGTCTGGAGCCCGCGACTCTCACGAGGAGGCCCGCTGGGGCGCTCTGGTTGCACGGCCGCACGGGCTCCACGAACTTTACCAGCCCAACATGACGTGCGCATCGCCCAACGCGCGCTCTCGACTCGACAGGCTGTGCTGCAATCAGGAGCACACGCACTATCTGGACTACAACATGTCTTGCGCGGCCCTGCACTGGTGCCCCAAGGAGCTATCCCGCTACAGGGCAGTCAGTTTCCGCCGCGCGCGGCCGTGCCGCGACGCAGCATTCTTGCAGCCGCTCGCCGACCACGTCGTCGACCACCCCGACTGGCCATCTAAGGTGGCTTTAGCTTTTGGGGAGCTGCTCGACCAGGATCCCGATGCATCTGCTTTGAAAAAGGTGCCGTTGCTCAAGGAGGCACTGCGGTCTGCTGCCACCCACCTGGATATGCGCGCGCCCAATGTCACAGGCACGTTGACTACGGAGGATCGGCTGGGAACGACGATGCGATTCTTGCGAGCTTCGGAGCGGCAGTTTCCGAGCGCGATCGGTTCTTGCATCTCCCGCTACCCCGCCTTGTGCACGATGGTCGACAACCCGTGCGACTTCACCGCCCCGCCCCAGGCGCGGCTCAGACGCATCCGTCAGCACGCGCTCGACCTGGCGCGCGACCACTCGCTCGAGGAGCTCAATCAGTTGCACGGCGAGTTAGCTAACCTACCCCCCGAGCAAGCCGCGCAGCGCCGCCGACGGGTCCATCGGCTGATCCACCGCCTCGCCCCGGGCCGCAGCTGCGCGACCTTCGCGATCTTGGACCGGCAGGGCCACGCGACCGCCGACCCATCGGCGATGGCCTCCACCCTGCGGGACCACTGGTCGACGGTCTTCGCGGCCCAGGACACTGACGCAGACTTGCGCGCGCGATGGTTGCGCGAGGAGGCGGAGCACATCCCACCAGACGCGGCGCGACGCCGGCCCTTCGCCACGCCTACCCGGGACCATTTCAAGAAAGCCCTCCGCTTCTCGAAGAGTAGTGCCCCAGGCCCGGACGGCATGACATTCCGGGCGTGGTGCAAGCTTGGCGATTTAGGGACCGACGTTCTTTACGAGGCGTTCTGCTTTCTCACCTCCGACGCTACGCTGGGGGCACTTGATAGGGATTGGCACGCCTTCAACGAGAGCCTCCTTGTCTTCTTGCCGAAGAAGCCTTCCCACGAGATAGAGGGCGGCATCCTAGCCTACGAAGCGCCCAACACCAGACCGCTCAACATCACAAATGCTGACAACCGGCTTATCTGCAGCGCGGTTCGGCTATGCATTGAACCACAGGCTGCCCCAGCGATAGCCGGCGAGCAGCGGGGCTCCATCAACGGACGCTCGATGCTGGCCAACGTCGTTGACGTGGAGGCGTCGATGTTAGAACACGCATTTGCTTCGCCAGCGGCAGCCGCGGTGTTCTTTGACTTCGAGGCCGCCTTCCCGAGCGTCTCGCACGCCTTCCTTCGCGACGTCCTCGCGGCAAAAGGGTGGCCGCCTTGGATGCGCACGTTCGTTGATGGACTAGATTGGAACAACACCTGCAATATCTCTTTGGGTGGCCACAGGCACGAGGGATTCACACTTTGTTCTGGGGTTCGCCAGGGCTGCCCCCTCTCACCGCTACTATTCGCTGTTGTGTCGGACGTTCTTCCTCGGCGTATCCTGCGATTGACTCCGCTAGTCACGCTCCCGGCATGCGCGGGCGACATCGCCGCCGTACTCCCGAACGCCCTCACCGAGGCAGGCATCCTGGAGCGCGTCTTCACGGAGTATCGCGCAATTTCTGGCTTGCGGCTGCGCCGCGGGAAGACGGCATGGGTCCCCCTCGCGCTTCGCGACGAGGGGGGCGTCCGGAACGACCTACAACAACATGTACGCGTCTGGAGCGGTTTTGCCATCCGACGACACGCCACGTACCTTGGATTCTGCATGGGGCCGGGCAGGGGAGACCAATCGTGGACGAAAGCGGTCGCCAAGTTCCAGGAGCGGGCCCAGCTCTGGCAGCAGGTCGGATGCGGCCCCTTCAACACCATCCTCGCTTACAGGATCTACATCGTTCCCCTCCTCTGCTTCCTCGCGCAGCTCCTGAACCTTCCACGGAACTGGGAGGACATCGAGCGCAAGGTGTGCAAAACTTTTTCGGGGCCCAAGGGTCTGGACCTCCCCGTGCATGCTCTGCAGCCTCCGTTTCCTGGGCTTCCAGGCTGAGCTGCCGAACTTGTTCGACATCGCTACGGCCGCAAAGTGCCGGGTGGTCCGGTGGGGGAACGCGGGCCAGGGCGGTTTGGACATCGTGCGTCGCCACAGGGACATGGAACGAGTTATCGGGGACAGCTCATTCATACATCGTCTGGCTCACTGGCGCGAGTGGGTCGACACCATCATCCTTGCGAACTTGGCGCGCGCATGCGCCAGGCTACAGCGGGCTGCCCAGAACGAGTCCCTTACCGTCTCCGCCCTGCTTCGCGGGCAATCGCCGCGCGACGTGGCCCGGAAGGATTGGCAGAAGACGGTCGTCCTCCGCTTGGGGACCGATGAGCGGGAGTTGGTCTACCGTGAGCTCCGCCGGCACATGGACCACTTGCCCCCCCTCCTTCTCCCTGGGCGCCGAGTTGCCCGTGCAGTCGGGCTTCTGCGAGGTATTGCCCAAGATGTCCCCCCCAGGGTGTGGTTTACCACGTTCCGCGCGCTTTGCAACGGCTGGGTCACCAGAAGTCGTTTTGGGGATACCGCCGCCTGCATTTTTGGATGCGGCCACCACCAAGATTCATTGCGACACTACGCGGCGTGCCCGGTATTGTTGGACTTCGCCCAGCGGAAGCTTGGTCTCCAACGGGCTACGCCAACGGACCGCCTCGACACCTTTCTCGCGCTCCACGCGCCACACAATCAGCAGTCGGCCACCGAGCTCGCGAAGCGTGCGTTGGTCCTCTACGCCGCGCACTCGGCAAGTTGTGCCAGACGTCATGGGGGCACCGCCGACGCCGCAGAAGCACTCCTACAGTACGCACGCGAGGCGGCCGCTGGGTCACCATGGCCTCCGTCGTGTACTGGCTGCCACGTGGACCCGGTAGCGCGCGGCTGCAGCCCGCGGGCGGCGCGTGAGATGCCAGGGAGGCGCCGCTGGCGGCGCCAGCGCCGCCCGTTTTCCCTTCTTCTGCTTTCTCCTCCTCTTCGTCCTCTCCTTCTCCTGCGGGCTTCCGCTGACAGTGCCTCCTTTTGGTGCCGGCCCATGCGTTTATTTTTTTTTCGGCCACGCTCGCAGGGCAGCCTGCGAGCGGACTGCCGCTCGAAGTTGTGCAAAATAGGTGGTGCATGCCCTTGCCCTGACGCTTGTGCACCACCCCACCCTTCCTTCGGTTTGCCGCCTCTGTGATGCATCGCGCCGCACGCGTGTAATATTTGCTTCCTGTGTGTTGCATACCACCGCACGTCGCTTCGGAGCAACGAAATTCGTGACATGTTCGTTGCGTCTTGCACTGGGGTGCGATTTATTTTCTCCGAGCGGATAGACTCGGTGACGTTAGTGCGAGGCAGCCTCTGTCCCGGCCGCGTGGCCGATAGTGCCACGGATGGGCCGGTACTCCCAAATCCCGCCAGTGTTTAGGAGAACGCCCTGTGAAACACTGTGTGGCGGTATCCTTGTTTCTGACACAGCTACTTTCAATGCGAGGCCCTCAGGCAGCCTCTGTCCTGGCCGCGTGGCCGATAGTGCCACGGATAGGCCGGTACACCCAAATTCCGCCAGTGCTTAGGAGAACGCCCTGTGGAACACTGTGTGGCGGTATCCTTGTTTCTGACACAGCTACTTTCAGTGCGAGGCAGCCTTTGTCCCGGCCGCGTGGCCGATAGTGCCACGGATAGGCCGGTACACCCAAATTCCGCCAGTGTTTAGGATAACGCTCTGTGAAACACTGTGTGGCGGTATCCTTGTTTCTGGCACAGTTAGTTTTCAATGCGAGGCAGTTCCCCCTCCTCCGCCTTGTCTTGTTTCTGTCGTCGTTGGTCTGGTCCTCTTGCCTCCCCCTCCTCCTCTTCTGGATTGTGGCCGTTTTTCTTGTATTTTCTCCCAGCTGTGGCTGGGCAGCCAAAGGGCTGCAGGTGAGGTATTCTTCGACTTCCGATGTGACTGCACACGCTCGTGCCTGGCCGCCATCTGGGACTGCGGACGGTTCCCATGGGTGTTATGCGACTCGTAACTCCTCGCTGCCATACTCCAACAGGTGCTCCTGTGCCGGCCCCCTCGTTTTCATCTCTCCCTTCCCCCCTCCCGGTTTCACCGATACGACTTGGAGTTATACGTATCGTCCTAGGTTGGGTTCCTAGGAAAGGGCAGAACAACTTTGCTCCACCTGTTGGCTCCGTTGTGCAGCTTTAGTTCTTCCTTCTTCCTTCCGCCTCCTCCTGCTCCTCCTCCTTTTTCCAGCCCGGGTCCGGGGCGATCGTGTTTTTGTCTCCGCTACGCTCTGCATTGCGGTCGGCTGCGATTGTGTGTCATTTTCAGTGCGGTTGGGCGCCACAAGGGCTTCACACAGTGCGTGCTGTCCAATTTTGATAGCGCTGCGAGCGGTTTCGAATTCTGTCCGCTTCGATCCTCTCTGCTTTCAAAAAAAAAGTTTGCTTTTCGACCTGGATACCAAGCACACGAGGTTGTTTGCATGATGTGTTCGCTCATCGAGAAGTCTTTGGAGTGGCAGGACGCACTCTTCATTCTGGACGGCGATATCGCGAAAGCCTACGACTACACGCCACGACGTGGTGTTCCAGGCCCTCGCAGACAAGAGTGTTTCGGATGTGTTGTCCGCGGCGTGGATTCGGGAATTCCAGCGCTGCCCGTCTACTTTCGTGCTTGATGTTGCAGTATCCTCAAACCCGTTAAGAGAACGATATCTTTGTTATAAGGTGACCCAGCCGCCCCCACGCTGTTCAACTTGGCAGTCGAACGTCCTGCACGTGATTTTCTATAGCTGGCTCACGAGAGACGGTGGGGCAAGGTGTTGGAAGACGGGTCTCGGCTCGCATTGTTGTTTCTCGCTGACATTTTTTTGGCTGGTGGCTGGCAGCGCCCCAGAATTGGCTCAGATGTCGAAGGCTTGGTTCGACATGTGGCGCAAGTGCGGTTGGCTCGTGCCACCGGACGAGACCACGTGGTGCACGACGGCTACGGACGACGTGTCGACTTTGAGTGTGTCTGTAGACGGCGTCGGTTTGAAACGAGCTCCCAGGGCGGAAGGCTTCCGAGTATTGGTTGCGATCGTCACTTTCAATAATAGCCACGAGGCAAAACTGGACAATCGCATATCTTGCGCTTGGTGCGCTTTCTAGAAATATAGGGACCTTCGATGCTGCAGAACGACGTCGGCCAGGAAACGCTTCAGGTTATTACGTTCATTAGTGGATCATTCTTTAATATGGTGTACTGGTAGCTGGAATCTTACCGCGACGCAAATGTCCAAGCTGAGGGGGTTGCAGCAGTCGATCACGTGGAAAAAGGTTTCCGCCCCGTGCGATCCCCGGGGAGACGGCCGAGCAACACATGCCTCGTTGGGGGGTGAAGCTCCGGCACCTCAGAGATCAGTGCGGTGTCCTTGGGTTGGATGCCGATTGCAAGGTCAACGTCTTCAGATGGGCGGGGCACAGGGTCAGGATGAGGCAGCACAGCCCGTTACGTCTCAGTTACTTGGTGTTAAAACACCGCGATTGGCAATGGATCGAAAGAAGGGCCTCAGATAATGAGGTAAAATCAGAAGCATGGGCGCAAGCTCAGGGCGTGAAGGTGGGAGAAGACGATGTACGTGCTATTCCGGAACAGGTCGTGGCAAGATGCCGCCCAGGATAAACATTCTTTGGGATCCCACTTTTAATCCATGGTGAATGGTCAATTGTCTGCGCAACAGTGACATCTTCGAGTTCACGCGCAAGTGAGCTGCAGTTCGACACGCGGCGCGGCCCCGGCCGACACATGCCATCCCGATCCCCCCTTTTCCTCCTCTTCCTCCTCCTCCTCCTCCTCCTCCCATGACCTCCTCCCTTTTCACCTCCTCCTTCTCCTTGTCCTCCTCCTCCTCCTCCTCCTCCTCCTCCTCCTCCTCCTCCCCCTGCGTTTCCTCCTCCTCCCTCCTCCTCCTCCTCCTCCTTCTCCTCCTCCTCCTCCTCCCTCCTCCTCCTCCTCCCCTCCTCCTCTCCTCCTCCTCCCTCCTCCTCCTCCCTCCTCCCCCTCCTCCTCCTCCTCCTCCCCCTCCTCCTCGTCCTCCTCCTCCTCCTCCTCCTCTCTCTCCTCCTCATTCTCTTCCTTCTCCCCCTTCTCCTCCTCCTCCTGCTCCTCGTCCTCCCCCTCCCCCCTTTTCCTCCTACGTCAGGTCCCAATGGAGGACTTTCCTTCACACAGCTGGCCAGCCCGTCCCAGCGCCGGTAGTCGTGAGGCCGCGGTGCTGGCGATCCCGTCGTGGACAGGGCAAGGCGGCAAGGCATGCCCCCAATATGTGCGCCCGAGAGACCATGTTCGCTTTAGCGTCGCTTCCAGATGCGGCTCCTCCTCCTTCTCCTCCTCCTTCTTCTCTTTCTCTGTCTCCTTAACCTCTTCCTTTTTTTTTCTTCTTCTCCTTTTCCTGTGTGTCATTCTCCACCTCCTCCCCCTCCTCCTCCGTCTTGGCCAGAGACGGCTTCAGCATGGCTGCCAGATGAGCCACGCAGGCCCAACGGTGGCTCTAAGGTGGCCGTGGAGCCTCCCAAGGGTACCCCCGAGATGCCCAAAGCAGTTACAAACGTAGGGTTTCGATGTTTTTGTTGCTTGCTCGCCATTTCTGCCGAGGAGCCTCTGAAGCCTCAAGATGGCTCAAAACTACTCACGTCCGAGGCCAGGCCAAACCACGCGTGCTTAGCAGCATTCGCCAAGAGGCCACGTACGACGTGAAGGCTCGCCAAGACGGTCAAAGAGAGCCCAAACAGAACCCCCAGACTTTCAAATGGGTCGCAAGAGGCCTCCTTGACCTTGCAAATGGTAGGCTACGCCCGTGTATTTTCATCCAATGCTCGTCCTTCTCAGCTGTTGCCCAGGGACGGCCGCCACGCCAGATAGCTATCTACCTCCAGTCCACAGGCGTGGGGAACGTTTTGACGGCGCGGGGAGAGGGAGACAGGGGGAGACAGGGCCGACTGTCAGACGGCCACGACAACGACGAAGCTGACGACGGTGACGACGACGACATTCCGAATGGAAGAGGGACTAGAAGAGCTCGTACCATGACGCCCAGAGGGCCAGTGGGCTTCGAGCAGGACGTGCATGTCAGGGGCCACGGGACATTCAGAGCTGCTTCGCAGGGAGAGGGCGAGGGGAAAGGCGCTTATGAAAACGGGCAGGGAGAGCAAGGATATCGGGCGGAGCGTGTGTTGGGAAGACTATGGCTGGGGTGTGGGACGGTGGGTAGGGGAGCGAGACTGGGGACCGTCCCGCCTTTCTCAGCCATACCTCAGTGAGCATCTCTCTGGCTCTTGCTTGCTATCCCCCGAAGGTGTTACATATGCCTTGCTTGCGGCCTTCATTGCAGTGTGGCGCCCAAGCGCCAAGCGCCCCCTGTCGTGCCTCTCGCGGCAACTAGGACTGCAGGACGATTGTCTGGATGGCTGAACACACCAGATGTCCGCCTGTAAACGGATGCAGATGTTGACTGAAGCTTGGAGTGCCCCGAGCACGCGTTTTCTGTCGTCTCGTGTGTTTGGGCTCCGGGATGAACTGGGGGAGGATACGACAGGGGGGCTGGGGCACAAACGTGTGGAAACGTGTCTTCAATTGGCGGACGCTCCACTGTTCATTTCACCCAATGTCCCCAAGGTTCGTGTGCTTGAGCGCGCGTTAATTTATTTAGCGGCGTGGATCCTCATCGCCATCTCTTTTACTTGCCGAGCTACTTGTGATGTCCGTGGCCCTTGTACGTAATGATTGGTAGAAGTGTCCAGGCCCGCGTTACAATTTCAATGGAAATAGTTGTTTTGCGATCGGTGGGATGGGGTATGAGTGAGGTCAGGCCCACCACGAGAAAAAGAGAGAGGGTTATACAGAGAGTGCCTGAAATATAGTTTGCTGGACGGGGGCTCCCAGTACGCACTTAGTATGTGCACGTACGCGCGCGCGTGTGTGTATATAGTTGTTAGTATACACATATACGTATACACACGTTTCGGGCAAGGTACTGAGACAAGGATTTAGGATCATACTGCTTGGCTTTCCAGTGCAGGGGATTGTGTTACACGTGTGAAGAAGATGATGGAAGGGTGCTTTTGAGCATCTTCTGGGGCTTGTTTTTAGGATGTCTATGAACATCTGATGCTCACGTGTTAATGTTCTAGATTCTAGTCACAGCAAGTGGAAATATCGCTGCTCTCTTGACTTTTCAGGTTGTGCCAACTCGGACGCTGCGCAGTCCGCATCCGAGTCCGGGGAGCTCGCGAAGCCAAGGTCACAGTTGATTGGTTTGTAGAGCCCCCTGTGCTTTTTCATTGCCAGCGGCGCACGTGTTTTGAGCAGAAACGTCGGCCGATTCAGTGTCGTGGCGCTGCTTGTGATACTGTTGACTAGGTCGCATGACGCCATGCCAAACATCCTATGGTGAATATGCAAGGCAGAATAGGCGCCGATTGCCTGGGACGTGGAGGTAATCAATTGGTGTTGGCAATGTTTTCGTTCATCCCGCCTGCGGCTGCCAGGGTTCATTGCCGCGCATGCGAGTGTCGCCGAGGTGGCTGCTGTTGCTTCGGCCGCACCGTTGACAGTGGTTGATTGTCGGTGCTTTGCTGCAGAGTGCTCCTCGCGCGCGTACATGGTTGTCACTCGCCCCTGTGGGTGCTTCCGAGCGCCAGTTTCGGAGCCCATGGAGGGCCCCGCGGGGTGTGACCGCGCGCAAAGCTGATTGACACTCATCTCCCCGGATGCTCCTGAACGTGGCATTGTCATCACCCCTCTGAGCCCCTTGGAGATCTCGCAGGGTGCCCCCTCCCCTCCCACGCTTGCAGATTACTTCTGTTCCGCGCCTGATTGCGCTTCAAGAGCTAGAACGGCCGCTATTGTCCGAGCCTCAACCTTCAGACGTAGACTTAATTGCTCTCCACTTCCCTGGGCGCTCCCGCATGTATACTTGCCGCCGTGTTCCGAATCCGTGGGATCATGCCGAGCGTCTCTTTCATGCATGTCGAATTGGTAGCCCACCCTGAGTGTTACCCGAGGGGGCCCAGTATAGTCCCATGCCGGCTTCCCATCATCTCCTTCTGCATTACGTGGCTTTGCGGTCGAGATGGGTGGTTTTGGCATTCCGCGTCCAAATTCAGCCACGCGCGGAGGGAGGAAAGCTTAGCAGCACCTTTGTTTCTTAGAAGGCGCGGGCCCTGTCTGTAGATGTGGGGCTTGCGCCCTCCAAGAAGCAGCCTCCTTCTCAGAAGTCTTCGCCCCTCCCCGCCTGGGTGGATGGTTGGGGCCTGGGCGGTTTTGTCTGCCGTGCAGGGCGGTATACAAACAAGGCCAGCCTTGTTTTGAGCGTTCCGCTCCACGCTTGTGGCCTCCCCGAAGGGGGGTTGCATGCGGCGCTGCGGGGTTTGACGCTTCCTCCTGCCGAGTCGATCCGATCCCCCCCCCTTGTGCGCGCCGCCAACAAACCCATTCTCGAGGGCGGCTTGCACCCAGCCGCAGCTTCGCCTCTCTGGAGCTCAGCGGCAGCGCATCCTGCAGAACCAGCAGCTGGCGCTGAAGAAGCAGAGCCTGAGGGGCTTTATCGGACATACCTTGCGGTTTCGCCCGCCCACTTGCCCGATCCTTTTTGAGCAGCTTTTCGAATCTCTACAGGGAGATGACGCGGAGGAGGAGGAGGAGGAGGAGGAGGAGGAAACGGAGGATAAGGAGGAGGAAGGTGTGGTCAGTGATGGTGGGGGAATGGGAGGAGGGGTGAGGGAGGCAGAACTTGTCTTCATCTCCCCCAGTGGCTTCTGCTGACTGCCTGGCTCTCTCTCTCTCTATTGCTCTCGCTTGCTTTCTCTCTTGCTCTTTCTTGATCTTTATCTCTTCCCATTGCTCTGTCTATTGCTCTCTCTTGCTCTCTCTTGCTCTTGCTCTCTGTCTCGCTCTTGTTCTGTCTTGCCCCCGCATCTCGTACATCTGAACTTCCGGCTCTCCTCCGGCAGTTTGCCTTTCTCGTTATCCCCTCACTGCGCTCCTAGTCTCCTTCCTCGGTCGTCTGCCCCCCTCTTTCTCGCTCGCCCTCTCGCGTCGCAGAATTAGTTTTTCTCTTCACACATGTTCGGCTTGGCAGTATGTTGCCCAATGTCGGAAGAGTTTTGCTAAGATGCCATTCGCTCAAGCGATCGGGGAGCCCAAGGCAATCTCCCGCTAGCCCGCTGGAGAGGCATGCCCCCCCCCCAGAGGGTCGAGGCCGCGGGACCATCTCTTGCGGCGTGGGGAGAGTGGGCGGACTGCCGCGGTTCCGCGTCGCTCGCGCTCTCGCGTGGCTGCGAGGGGACTTGGTCTGCCCCTGCCGTCCTGGGCTCGTCCCCACTCCTCCTCCTCCTCCTCCTCCCTTCCTCCCTTCCTCCCTTCCTCCCTTTCTCCCTTCCTCCCTTCCCCCCTTCCCTCCACCTAACTTCCTTTCCCCTCCCTTCCTTCCTCCCGTCTCTCCTCCTTCTCTCCTCCTTCCTTCCGCCTTCCTTCCTTTTTTCCTCCTCTTCCTCCTCCTCCTCCTCCTCCCTTTCTCCTCGTCTCGTCCTCCTCCCTCCTCCTCCTCCTCCTCCCTTCCTTTCTCCTCCCTTCCTGATCCTCCTCCTCCCCAGACCCCCGACGTCATGAGTTTTTTCACGACGTGGAGTCCAAGCGTTGTGGACTCACGCCCAAGGAACGGTCCCTTCATCCCAAGGTCGTTTTGACGGTCCCTGCGCCGGGCGAGGGCCCTCAGAGGGCGAAAATAACGACAAACCTCCCGGTCTGGGTCCCCTTCCTTCATCTTCCTTTCTTTTCTTTTTCTTTCCTTCCTCTTCCTTTTCCTTATCCGCCTCCTCCTCCTCTTCCTCCCTTCTTTCTCCTCCCTTCCTCCTTCCTTATCCTCCTCCTCCTCCTTCCTCCTCCTCTTCCTCCTCCTCGGCATTGTTCGCGTCCCTCCCGCCGCTCGCCCCCAGACGGAGGGGCCCGCAGAGGCGCGGCCCAGGCGTGCGAGCGGCCGCGCCCAGTGCTGGGGCCTCCCAGGACCCGGGGGGATGATGGTGATGTTGCTGCTGATAATATCGAGGTGATGCTGATGGTGATGCTGGTGGTTATGATGCTGGTGGTGATGCTGCTTCTGCTGCTGGTGATGGTGATGATGATGCTGATGGTGATGGTGATGATGCTGACGACGATGCTGATGATGATGATGCTGATGATGATGATGATGCTGATGATGATGATGGTGATGATGCTGATGATGATGATGATGATAGTGATGATGCTGATGTTGCTGCTGATGATGCTGCTGATGATGCTGCTGCTGATGATGATGATGTGATGATGCCGATTATGATGCTGATGATGCTGATGATGGCAATGATGCTGATTACGATGATACTGAGGATGCTGATGATGCTGCTGCTGATTGGGATCATAATGTTGCTGATGATGCTGCTGATGATGATAATGATGCTTATGATTTTGATGATGCTGATGATGATGCTGATAATGCTGATGATGATGATGATTTTGCTGCTGATGTTGCTGCTGCTGATGATGCTGCTGCTGCTGCTGATGATGAGGCTCATGATTCTCCAAATAGGCTTGCCCGATAGGAGATACAACTCATTCTCTACTAACTGGTCCAACCACTTTGGGTCAAGCGCTTGCAGACTCAGGGCCCCCCGGGCGCGTGTGCGCTCCGCTCGCTTGCTATGCCTCATGTCGGACGTCTTGAGTGGATTGCTGCACAACTTGCTGAAGGACGCCAGCGCCGTTTTCGCATGAACTCATATGTCGATCGAGTGGTCGTGCACGTTACTCTGCTGAAGAACGGCTACCAGTTTGTACGGAACGGACCTCTCATTGCGATCCTGGAGGTTCTCAAAGCCACTTGCGAAGAAGCAGTCGTTGTCGACCACGGCCACCTCAGCTCCACTGGGGAGTCCCACATTTCCTTTTCATTTCGCCCGTTGCCTCCAGTTGATTCACTCCCGATGCGTACGTATCCAGCAACAGTGAAAGACGTACCAACTGCTCAGTCTGGTGCGATGCCACCTCCTTCTTCTGTTGACCTTGGTGACGGGATGTGACGGGATCGATGACCTAAGACAGGAGATGCAAGAGCTGCGGACGAGATTGCAAGGCCAAGTGCGGATTACCGTGGGGGTTCCTGAATCTTTCTCTGCGGAAGTTGTCCAGCTGATCGGTCTCGTTACTGGCGTTCTTGTGGAAAACCCGAGTTTCCTGACCACCGACGCTTTTCCGATCTATGTGCCAACCTGAACGAGAAATTCGCGGTGCAATACACTGGTTCCCTTGCAGAGGTCACAGCCTTGGTCACTGAACTCTGCAGTAACATCAATGAGTCGCGCCGTGAGTTGCTTGATGCCGTTCTATCTGCAATGCAGAACGAGGAGACCGAGGCGAGCGAGGTGAGAGAACACAGCGAACATGACGATTTGAAAGCAGAGGATGTTGCGGACCAAGAAACAAACCTCTACTAATTGGTCCGTTGCCCCCCCTAATTCCTATGCCCCCCCCGCCCCTTACTTCCTATGGCTATGCCTATGCCTATGCCGATGCCTATGCGTATGCCTCCCCCCATAACTCCTATGCTTACGCCTATGCCTATGCCTTTGCCTATGCCTATGTCTATGCAGCTTGCTTGCTTGCTTGAGCGCTTGCACGCTTGCTTGCTTGCGCGTGACCTTGCCTGATAATGCTGATGCGGATGATGCTGATGATGCTGGTGATGAAGTGGTGCTGCTGATGATGATGGTGTGGCGCTGCTGATGATGATGCTGACCACGATGATAGTGTTGACGATGATGATGCTGCTGATGATCCTGATGATGCTGCTGAAGATGCTGGTGATGAAAGTGCTGATGATGCTGATGATGATGCTGCCGTTGAGGATCCTGACGGTGCTGGTGATGATGATACTGATGATCATCATGATGATGATGATGCTGATGCTGATGATGATGGTACAGATACTGATGATGATGCTGATGATGAGGCTGATGATACTTCTGCTGATGATGCTGATGATGTCGTTGATGCTCATAATTATGGTGATGATGATGGTGATGATGATGGTGTTGCTGATGATGCTGAAGCTGACGATGCTGATGATGACGAGGCTGCTGATGATGCTGATGATGATGGTGGTGATGATGATGATGTTGCGGGTGGTAATCGAGATGTTGATGGCGAAGCTGATCATGATGATGCTGCTGCTGATGATGCAAGCGATGCTGATGATGGTGATGATGATGACGATGCTGTTGATGATGCTGGTGGTGATACTGATGATACCCATCTTGATGCTGATGCTGATGATGGTGCTGGTGATGATGATGCTGCTAATGTTGCTGATGATGGTGATGCTGATTCTGTTGCTGATGATGCTGATGAGGCTGGTGCTGATGATGATGCTGACGATGCGGCTGCTGCTGATGATGCCGATGATGAAACTTATGGTGATGATGATGGTACTGTTGCTGCTGATGATGATGCTCATGATTATGCTGCTGATGCTGCTGCTGATTATGCGGATGATGCTGATGCTGATGCTGATGACGCCGATCATGATGCTGATGATGCTGATGGTGATGCGGATGATGATGCTGACGATGATGCTGACGCTGATGATGATGCCGATGATGATGATGAGGATGATGATGATGATAATGATGATGATGATGATGCTGATGATGATGATGAGCTGTTGATGGTGCTGATGGTGCTGATGCTGATGATGCTGATGCTGCTGATAATTATATTGGTGCTGATGATGCTGATGACAACACGGCTGATGCTGATGATCATGATGATGCCGACTCTGATGATGTTGATGATGATGCTGGTTAGGATGCGGAGGGCGATGCTGGTGATGATGCTGACGATGCTTCCGTTGATGATGATGCCGATGATGCTGATGTTGGCGCTGATGAGACTGCTGATGCTGCTGATGCTGATACTGATGATGCTGCTGAGGATGATGCTGATAATGATGCTGACGGCGATGCTGATGCAGATGATGCTGATGATGATGTTAATGCTGATGATGACGATGATGTTGATGCTGATGCTGCCTATGATGATGATGATGATGATGATGATGATGATGATGATGATGATGATGCTGATGATGATGATGATGATGCTGATCAGGGATGATGCTGCTGATGAGGATGCTGGTGATGATGCTGCGCATACTGCAGATGATGGTGATGCATCTGCTGCTGATGTTGATGATACCGATGTTGATGATGATTCAACTGATGATGATGCTGATGATGATCATGGTGATGATGCTGCTGCTGATGATGCTGTTCATGATGCTGATGATGGTGGTGATGATGCTGCTGGCCATGGCTGTTGATGATGATACTGATGGTGCTGATACCGCTTATGATGATGATGCCGATGATGCTGCTGCTGCTGATGCTGCTGTTCATGATGCTGATGATGCTGATACGGATGAGCATGATGATGATTCTGGTGATGCTGCAGATGCTCATGATGATGCTGATGGTGATGCCGATGCTGGTGATGATGCTCTTCATGCTGATGCTGATGATGTCGATGATGGTAATGATCACAAAGCTGATGAGGCTGCTGATGATGGTGATGATGATGCTATTGATGATGCTGATGCTTCTTATGGTGACGTTGATGCTGATGCTGATGCTGATGCTGATGATGCTGATGATGGTTGCTGATACTTCTGATGATGATGATGCAACTGATGATGCTGATACGGCTGATGCTGCTGATGGTGCTGATGCTGTCGCTGATGATGATGCTAATGATGCTGCTGCTGCGAATGATGATGCTGATGGTGATGATGATGCTGATGGTGATGATGATGATGATGATGATGATGATGAGGCTGCCGATGATGACGATGACGGTGCTGATGATGATGCTGCTGCTGATGCTAATGCTGCTGCTGATGATGATGATGATGCTGATGCTGAGGATGCTGATGATGATGATGCTGCTTCTGATGATGCTGGTGATGATAATGCGGCTGATGCTGCTGATCATGATGATGCGGCTCATGGTGCTGATGGTGATGATGCTGATGATGACGATGCTGCTGCGCCTGCTGATGACGATGCTGCTGTTGAGGATGCTGATGATGCTGATGCTGATGCTGATGTTGCTGATCATGCTGCTGATGATGCTGATGCTGAGGATGAGGATGATGCGGATGACGATTATGAGGATGCCGATGCGGACGCTGCTGATGATGATGTTGATACTGATGATGGTGATGGTGACGGTGATGCGGCTGCTAATTGTTATGATGATGCTCATGATGTTGACGATGATCATGATGATTCTGATGATGGCTTTGATACTCATGATGATGACGATGATGATGTTGCTGCTGCTGCTGCTGATGATGATGATGATTCCGATGCTGATGACAATGATGCTGATGCTGCTGCGGTTGATGATGATCATGATGCTGCTGCTGCGGATGGTGATGATACGGGTATTGATGATGCTGAGACGGATGCTGATGCTGATGCTAATCATGATGATGATGCTGAGGATGATGATGCAGATGATGATGCTGATGATGATGCTGATGCTGATGATGATGATGGTGATGTTGGTCGTGGTTGTTATGAGGATGCTGCTGATGATGCTGATATTGCTGATGATTGTGCTGCTGATGGTGCTGATGATGATGATCATGCTGATCATGGTGATGATGATGCTGCTGATAGTGGTGATGCTGCTACTGATGATGATGGCGATGATGGTGCTGATGGTGATTATGGTAATCATGGTGATGATGATCATGATGATGCTGATCATGATGACGATGATGATGAATCTGCTGATGCTGATGCTGATCATGATGATGACTATGATCATCACGATGCTGATGCTGATGCTCATGGTGATGATGTTGATGATGATGTTGCTGATGCTGATGCCGATGCTGATGCTGATGATGATGCTGCTCATTAGTAGTAGCAGTAGTAGTAGTAGTAGTAGTAGTAGTAGTCGTAGTAGTACTAGTCGTAGTAGTAGTAGTCGTAGTAGTAGTAGTAGTAGTAGTAGTAGCAGTAGCAGTAGCAGTAGTAGTCGTAGTCGTAGTCGTAGTCGTAGTAGTGGTAGTAGTAGTAGTAGTAGTAGTAGTAGTAGTAGTAGTAGTAGTAGTATTCGTATTCGTATTCGTATTCGTATTCGTATTCGTATTCGTATTCGTATTCGTATTCGTATTCGTATTCGTATTCGTATTCGTAGTAGTAGTAGTAGTAGTAGTAGTAGTAGTAGTAGTAGTAGTAGTTGTAGTTGTTGTAGTAGTAGGAGTCGTAGTAGTAGGGAATTCGGAACTCGGTGGTCCGCGGAAAGACGCCGTCTTGCAATCGTTGCGGGGGTTGTGCAGCTTTCAAGCGAGGCTGCAGACCAGCGAGGATGATGATGGTGATGACGCTGATGATGATGACGATGATGGTGCTGACCATGATGACGATGGCGATGCTGATTATGATGATGATGACGATCATGCTGATCATGATGCTGCTGATGATGATGATGATGACGACAAGGAGGAGGAGGAGGAGGAGGAGGACGTTCGTCTCGGTCGGTGTATCTTGACACTAGGAGAGTGCGGATAATGAGCATGGAGGGGAAACGATGGAGACGCCTGTCTTAGTAATGCGGAAGGGATTCTGTGAATGCGCGCGGGCTACCATGATGTTGCCTTCTGGGTACACGGCTTTCGAATCAGCTGAAGTACCCATCCTGAGCTTTCCAGCTGCCCGTGCCAGGCTAGTCTTGGCTCTGGCGTTTTTTGAAGCCAGGCCCGTGAGGTGTGAAAGCGTTCTGTGTGCCATTATTGTAAAACAAGTGCAGGGAAGCACTCACTCACTGGTGTCAAGAGCATCATGGCTGGAAACACAGCAAAGAGTGTCGTGCACCACCCCTTGGGGTGTACGAGTGTGTCGTGTTGGAAACCAGAGCATATGGAAGTGCATATGCGCTTTAACGAGATGTGAGTCGAAAAGGGTGGGGTGGGCAGGAGGCGGGGAAGTCGCAGGGGGCCTTGGCCGCACTGGCACAGCCAGCGCAACTGTTGCCCATGTGGCGTGCGCGTGCCACTTCCAGTCCTGCTCTGTCTGACTAGCTCTGATGAAGGTGACCGGGCATCCTTCATCAGAGGCAGGTGAACGAATGCCACCGTCGACCCACACCCGCGACCCATGCCCGCGATCCACCCCGCGACACATCCCACATTGTTTTTGTAACAGAACAGTGTCCCTTGCGGTAGGTTGGCTGTGTGCAGAAGGAGAGCAGTGGCGTTCGCGACGGGCCTCTTTGAAGAATGTTGTCTTCGCACCCCGCGACCTGACAACGACCCACACTTCCATTCGGCGGCGAACGAGGTCGATAATTCTGGACCGTAAGTCGACGGCGAGCGATAGTTTCGGGTTCAAGGCTCGAGGTTCTCGGACGTTTTCGTCGATTCTCGGCGGCCTTCCCGCCTCTGGATGCTTGCCAGCAGCTGCTCCTCGCCGAGAGCGTTCCGGGGTTGCCCGGATCGTCCAGAACGGCTGCCGGAGACGCGAGTTATGACCCAAAAGCCAAATGCGCTCGGACGTCCATTCCCCCGTCCACTTGTCGCCAAAGTCGGCGGCGCGCCCAGGGGGAAACGAGAAGGAGCAGGCCTTCACAGAAGGCGGCGGTGCTTCTCAGAGGTTCCCAGCCTCAGAAGCCTTCTGCGTCTTCGGGGCAGGCTTAAAACATTTTGTCGGAAGGCCGGAGGCCTATCGAGCCCTCTGAGAGGGCCCGCCCCCTCTCAGACTCCCAGCGGGTCTTCGGCGCTGTTTCCTCTCTCCAGTGGCCGCTTGGGATGCTCTGGGCGCCCCCAGAACGCTCGCGGCGAGGCGCAGCCTTTGGATGGCATCCCGAGGCTGGGAGACCGCCGAGAACTGGCGACGACGCCCGACAGCCGGGCCTGTCCCTCTACAGGAGGAATGTTCAAGAATAGTCAAAACATAGTCCGGAACGATTTTTCTTCCTCTTACGTTTTGACAATTTTGGGGTATTTTTCGAGCCTCGAGCCCGAAGCTCCCGAGCCCTCCCCCCCTCGCTCGCCGCCAAGCGGCCAAGCCAGGCCAGGCTCAGCTCATGATCCACCCTCCCAGGGGCGGCGCCGGCCCGACGAGGCCCAGAGTCATCGGTCCGAGGAGCCTCGAACCCGGATCCCCCAGGCGCGCCAGTGGCTCTTGCGCACACGAGAGTCGGTGCCTGCGCCTGGCCGGCGGGCCTCTTCACAGCAGCGCTCGAGCCCCGCAGCCTCGGGCCAGGGCGGCCTGGGCGCTCCGCCTCAGCCCGAGCCGCACATGCGGGGCTCAGGATGTCTGTCTTCGCTCGCGTCCTCGAGGGGGGAAAACAAGGGGACCATGACAAAGATGTCGCGGGGTCTTGCCCATGCCGATCTTGGTCATGGTCCCCGTCGGCCGCCGCCGATTTGCGAGGATGGTGCACGAGTTGACGCTGACCAAGATCGATGATGACCAAGATCGACACGGCGTTTGCGCGTTCAGTCTTTGTCATGATCCCCGTTCTCTTCTACTCCAGCAATGCTGAGGGTCCACGTGAGCTCTGGAGGTCAGATAGACGCGAACATAATTATCGGGGAAACGCAAGACTCGAGTTAGCCGGAACTCGGGTTCGCCGATATTTTTTGATGGTTCCATCTTGAGTTTTGACGGTCCAGTTTTCGTGGGATGTTTGCAGCAGCGGGCGCTCGCGTCAAATTTCACACTGGGTCTCGCCATTTTTTGACCGCCCCGTCAGGCCAACCCGAGTCGCCCGAACCCGAGTCGTACGTCTTCCCGAAACTCCAGGCCATAGGAGGGCGAGCTGGAGGAGGAGGACAGTTTTTTTAAGTCCGCGAACAGCTGCCTCGATACCACTGGCTGGGGGGCGAGACCAGCCAGGGAAAATTCCTTTGGTGCGTGGCACCACAGGGTCGAGCCACCTGCCACGGTCATACTGGGCAGGAGGTAGGACGAGAAGGAAAAAGTGGGTAGGGCAAGGTGCAGCAAGAGGTGAACGTCGAGGGGTACTGGAACCGAGTGGGGCCGAGGCAGAGGGATCCCGTTCCCCCTGTCTTCGCTCGCAGGACAAGCCGACTCCTGCTGCCAAGGACGCGCAGACTCTAGGCTGTTGCCGCAACCGCGGGCTTGTCCAACGAAGGGACGCAGCAGGGCCTGCCGATTGTCAACTGTAGCTCAAGAGTGTTTTGCATGTCGCCGATGAGCCAAATCAGGGATGCTCGGGTGCCTGCAATGAGGGAAAGCGTCGGCCAATCTACTGCCTGGATCTTGTCCCCGATGGGGTGACGTGCGGAAACACTGCCGAAGAGAGAGCGAACAGCCAAGCAGAAGTTGGTGGCCGAGGCGCCAGTGACCAGCCTGCAGCCAGCGGGGCCGCGAAGGTGATGATGATAATGATGATGCTGATGATGATGCTGCTGATGATAGTGGTGATGATGATGATGACGATGGTGATGCTGCTGCTGATGATGATGCTGCTGATGACGATGACGACGATGATGCTGATCATGATGACGATGGCGTTGAGGATGGTGATGATGATGATGATGATGATGACGATGATGATGCTGATGATGGTGATGATGAATATGCTGATGATGATGACTCTGATGATGACGATGATGCTGATGATGATGACGATGACGACGACGATGACGATGACGATGACGATGATGATACCGATGACGAATATGGCGATGATGATGATGCTGATGCTGCTGCTGATGATGATGATGATGATGGTGGTGGTGGTGATTGCTGATGATGATGGTGGTGATGATGATGACGATGGCGATGATCATTACGATGACGATGGCGATGGTGATGATGATGATGATGATGATGATGATGAGATGATGATGATGATGATGATGATGATGATGATGATGATGATGATGATGATGATGGTGGTGGTGGTGGTGGTGGTGGTGGTTGTGGTGGTGGTGGTGGTGGTGGTGATGATGATGATGATGATGATGATGATGGTGATGGTGCTGATGACGATGACGATGCTGCTGCTGCTGCTGCTGCTGATTACGATGATGAGGAGGAGGAGGAGGAGGAGGAGGAGGACCAGTGTAAATCCAAGACTGAATCCGCGAAGCTCTCGCAAACTTTGAAGAACGAATGTGTGCCGCGCCAAAGCGAGAGCCACATTTTGAAAACCACACGCCCCCCATTTCTGAAACGGTTGTCAATTTTTCAGCTTTAGGCAGGGTCATACATGGTGAGGAAGTCTCAGGCGAAACGCCGGGCCCGCTCTTTCGACCGGCCTCGGGGTGCGACATGGATCTGGACGCCCGAAATGGGTACGGAAAGAATGGGAAGATGCCCAACAGCAGTGCCTGTTCATTTTGAACAGCATTCGCTGTCCACGCCGCCGCGGCCTGTGTCCATTCGAGACAGAAGGCCGCCTGCCCAACAGCGGCCGCTGTTGGTTCGGGACAACATTTGTTGTTGGGCATTGTACCCATTCTTGCCGTACCCATTTCGGGCGTCCAAAAGGGAGGAGTTTTTCATAAGGAGAAGGAATGGAGGAGGATGAGGAGGAGGAGGAGGAGGAGGAGGAGGAGGAGAAAGAGGAGGAGGAGGAGTGCAAACCCAAGACGCATCACCGGTGTTGGAATACACCCTTCCTCCAAGCTCCCTCTTCTTACTCCCCTACAAGGGTTATTTTCCACTGAGGGAATCCGTGAAGCTTCTGCAAACTTTGAAGAACGAATGTGTGTGGCGCCAATGTGAGAGCCACATTTTGAAAACCACCCGATTTGTGAAACGATTGTCAAATTTTCTGCTTCAGGCAGGGTCATACATAGTGAGCGAATCTCAGGCGAAGCGCCTGGCCCATCCTTTCGACCAGCCTCGAGGTGCGACAGGGAGGAGTTATTTATAAGGAGAAGGAATGGAGGAAGAGGAGAAGGAGGAGGAACAGTAGGAGGAGGAGGAGGAGGAGGAGGAGGAGGAGGAGGAGGAGGAGGAGAAGGAGGAGGAGGAGGAGGAGGAGGAGGAGGAGGAGGAGGGGGGTCGAGGAGGAGGACCAGTGTAAACCCAAGATTCATCATCGATGTAGGAAGGCAGCCTGCCTCCAAGGTCCCTGTCCATAGTCCCCTACAAGGGTTACTTTCCACTGAGGGAATTACCCCGTAGGGAATCGTGCAAACATCCTGAAGCGTGCCAAAACACAGTTTTCAGGAATTCAACGCCACGAGTAAACGTGATTGTGAGGTTTTGCCGATCCTGAACCGGACCAGAACGCCACTCCTGGGACTTCAACGCCGCGAATCAGCATAACAGTTGCGCTCTGACAATCAAGAATCGGTCCAAAGCAAAACTTCTGGCACGTTGGCCATGCGAATCAGTGAGAACCGTGCGAACTTTACAAGAACGAATGTGCGCGGCGCTGCGGCGAGAGCCTCTTTTTGAAAAGGCGCCGCCGTCAATCCGTGAAGCTCTTGCAAAACCTTTGAAGCGAATGTGCGCGGCGCTAATTAATGCGAGAACCTCCTTTTGAAAACCGCCCGCCCTCAATCCGTGAAATTCTTTACACTCTTAAGACGAATGCGCGCCGCGCTAACGCGAGAACCACAGTTTGAAAAGGAGCCGCCCTCAATCCGCGAAGCTCTTGCAAACTTTGAAGAACGAATGTGTGCGGCGCCAAGGCGAGTGCCACATTGTGAAAACCACCCGCGCCCTATTTGTGAAACGGTTGTCAAATTTCCAGCTTCATCAGGCAGGGTCATAAATAGTGAGCAATTCTTAAGCGAAGCGCCCGGCTCGTCCTTTCGGCCAGCCCCGGGGTGCGACAGGGAGGAAATACCTATAAGGAGAAGGAATGGAGGAGGAGGGGGAGGAGGAGGAGGAGGAGGAGGAGGAGGAGGAAAAGGAGGAGGGAGGTCGAGGAGGAGGACCAGTGCAAACCCAATATTCCCTCCAAGCTCCTTCTCCATAGTCCCCATACTAGGGTTAATTTCCACTGAGGGAATTACCCCGTAGGGAAACAACCGTGTAAACATCCTGAAGCGTGCCAGAACACCGTTTTCAGGACTTCGAAGCGTTGTGCAATCGGAGATCGCACTGGAACCGACTGCGAGCCAAAAGTGTGTGAGAGAGAGAGAGAGAGAGAGAGAGAACACGTCACGTGCTGATGCCGTCCGTGGGGGAGCACTTTCCTCGGCGAGGACCATCGAGGAACACCCTGCACCATCTGGCGAGAAAGCAAATACACGAAGCCGACAGCTGCGCGGGCCACGAACGACCGAGCGATGGCAAGGTTCGCGTGTTCTCTCGGCGAGAAACATCGAGGAACACCTTGTTTCATCCTGCGAGAAAACAGGAGCGCGCGACCGACAGATGCACGGAGAGTGGGCTTCCGAGCGATGGCAAGGTTTGCTCTGTTCTCGGCGAGGACCATCGAAGAGCACCCTGCTTCATCCTCCGAGAAAGCGAAGCCCGAAGCGCACGACCGACATATACACGGGGAGTAGACGTCCGAGCGATGGCAAGGTTCGCGCGTTCTTTCGGCGAGGACTATCGACGGGCATCCTGCTCCATCCTGCGAGTAGCCGACATCTGCACGGATGGTGGACGTCCGAGCGATGGCAATATTCGAATTCTATCTCGGCGAGGACCATCGAGGGGCATCTTGCTTTCTGCGAGAACGTGCGCGAAGCAGACGGATGCACGGGGGATGGACGTCCGAGGGATGGCGCGGCATGCGTGCATTTTTGGCGATGACCATCGAGGAGCATCCCGCTTCATCTCGCGAGAAAGGCAAGCGCACAAATCCGACAGACGAACGGAAACCGAGCGATGGCAAGGTTGGCGTGTTCTCTCGGCGAGGACCATCGAACGGCATCCATCCTGCGAGAAGCCGACATATGCACGGATAGTGGACGTCCGAGCGATGGCAAGGTTAGTTCTTTTCCCGGCAAGGACCATCGATGAGTATCTTGCTTCATCCTGCGAAAAAAAAAACAGCGCAGGATACCGACAGACGCGCGGATAATGGACGCCCGAGCAATGAATGGCAAGGTTCGTTTTCTCTCGGCAAGGACCATCGATGAGTATCTTTCATCCTGCGGGAAAAAAACAAACACAGGATACCGACAGACGCGATGATAATGGACGCCCGAGCGATGGCAAGGTTCGTTCCTTTTCTCGGCAAGGACAATCGATGAGTATCCTGCTTCATCCTGCGAGAAAAGCAAGCGCACGAAACCGACAGATGAAGAGGGAATGGACGTCCGAGCGATGGCAAGGTTCGCGCGTTCTTTCGGCGAGGACCATCGAGGGGCATCCTGCTCCATCCGCGCGAAGCCGACCGATGCACGGGGAACGGGCGCCCGAGCGATGGCGAGGTTCGCGTGTGTTGTCGGCGAGGGCCATCGACGAGCATCCTGCGAGCAAAGCGAGAACCGCGAAACGTACAGACGCAAGGGGAGTGGGCGCCCCGAGCGATGGCAAGGCTCCCGTGTTCTCTCGGCGAGGACCATCGAGGAGCATCCCGCTTCATCTCGCGAGAAAGGCAAGCGCGCGAAGCCGACGGATGCACGGGGGATGGACGTCCGAGCGATGGCAAGGTTCAGGCGTTCTCTCGGCGAGGACCATCGAGGAGCATCCCGCTTCATCTCGCGAGAAAGGCAAGCGCGCGAAGCCGACGGATGCGCGGGCAATGGGCGTCCGGGCGATGGCAAGACCGTTGGTCCGGTGGTGGCTCTGAGCGCGACTGCCGCGCCCGACTGCTCGCGCTGGGCATCCCTCGGCCTCCCGCCCCTTCGGGCTCGGCGCCCTCCTCCAACGCGGCGCGCTTGGCCGCCAATTGCGCGCGCCCAGACATCCGACGTCTCGAGAGTCTCAGCGCGGAGGTTTTTCGTAGTTTTCGGCCTCTCTGGGGCCTCGGTGGGCCCCGGGGCCGTCAAAGACGCGTCGGGATGAAGAGCTGGTTCTGGGGACAGGGCCCAGACTTTCGGGGGCCGCGCGCGGATAAAGCAAAACACGGACATCGGTTTGACTCGGTTCGATTCGATTTCGGATTCCCATTTGGAATTCCGGTTTCTCAACGGAGGCCTTAACAGCCTGCCGATTCGGGCCGATCCGATCCGCCGATCCGATTCATTTGTCATGCCCGCCATTTCCTGAAAACCAAGTGGTCCTGATTTTCAAATTGTTTTCAAGGGGAATGGTGTGTCTTGCTGTTGCTTTGCGCGTTGCTGGCGTAGCTTGTTGCGGGGGCGTCGGGGGCGCTTCCGTCCGCGCGGGCGCGCCGCTTGGGATTCTTCGGGCGACTTTTATCAAGTGCGGTAGAACGTGCTCTTTCAGATGTTTTGGAAGATCGCTTACTGCCG